AACCTCTTAAATCCATTCTTACACAGTTCCGTCACATCTTCTGTACCTCGTTGTATCCACAGTACACCTGGGAAACTACTCTTTAAAAATTGAGGTTTTGTCACTATAAAGCTGTAAAAAAAGAGAGGATGGGGTTCTAAAGCCTAAGAACACAATGGAAAGAGTTCTGTTCTGGAATTTTGAGTGTGTTCCATTTTCCTCTACCAACTAGAAGTCATTTTCCCTATTTGGAACCAATTTCTTTTGTAAAATTAAAATCTCTAAGGTCCCTTCTAACTTGGTGATTCTGATTAAGTTTGGATATTTTTGCTGAATACTACCCTAGAAATGATGATTGCATCACTAATTTACTTTTTAATTCATCCTTTATTAGCCAGACACTGTGCTGAGATTTAACCCTAGACAAGAGGTAATGATTGTTATAACAATCCTGTGAGGTGAGTGGTGTTATCCTTTTTTTTTTTTCCTTACTGGTGAAATAACTGAGGTTTAGTGAGGCTGAGTAACATCAACTGTTTGTAAGTAACTGGCAAGTGGGTCTGACTAAATCCAGTGCCTCTGCTGGCTGCTTCACTGCTCTAGGCTGTTTGTACTCAGTATCTATGACATATACAGAATTTCTGCTTTTAAAGTAGATTGTATATATATTCTACATATAGACTATATAAATAGTCATTGCCCTTTGCAGGAGGGCATAAGTAAGGAAATGGTCTCTCCTAGCTACAAAGTGGAGGCCACTGTCTTCGTGACTACACAGCATAGAAAATACCAGGATGTCTTTTGTCTCAGATACTGTTTTGCTCTGTAAATGTTTAATCCAGAAAGTCCTCTATTGGTACCTTTGTAGGTTTAATATGGAACTTATAAAGGAAGTGCTGTATTTGATGGCCTTAATAAATTTGCATTTTTAGAGCTTTAATGCTGTATTCCTTTGAGCTTCACTTAAAAATGTAAGAATACCTGTTTCTATAAGTTCTATACCTTCCCATAAAGAGACTGGAAATTGAAAGAACTGTTAAGATTAAGGAAATGTTTTATTATAATCTAGAGCCCATCTATGGAAAGTCACAATTGCTTAAAACTGCTAATTTAAGGACTAAAGTTGCTGCTGAAGGATTTGAGCTACATTAGGATACTAAAAAAGTTGCGTGTATTTTATAGCTAGAATGAAAGTGTAAGTTTAGAATCTGGTAGTTACAGTCATTCTGCTTCTGTGGTTGGACAGCCAAGAGCCCAGAGTTACTGGCTCTTCACAAAATGTTCTGTTTAATACTCTGGGTACAGCTCAGTAAGTGAATACAAAAAAACCCAAATGTCACTTTAGTCCCAGAGACAAGAGAAAGGATAAGAGGCAGTTAGTGAACGGTAGATTGTGAGGGACAAGTCACACCGTTGCTAGAATTAGTGTGTCAGAGAATACCATCAAGAAACCACAATCTCCAAGGTATTTCTAGATCTAGACCTATAGCCATTAAGAAAAAGACTAAGGAACCTAAGACAAAAACTTATATTCAAAATGCTGGCGTTCACTTGAAATGAAAGGTTTCGCTTTGGTGATGTTATCCTTTTAAAATTAGGTACTTTAAATAGCTATACTCTGGGGCGCCTGGGTGGCTCAGTGGGTTAAAGCCTCTGCCTTCGGCTCAGGTCATGATCCCAGGGTCCTGGGATCAAGCTCCACATAGGGCTCTCTGCTCAGCGGGGAGCCTGCTTCCTCTCTCTCTCTCTCTCTCTCTCTCTGCCTGCCTTTCTGCCTACTTGTGATCTCTGTCTGTCAAATAAATAAATAAAATCTTTAAAAAAAAAAATAGCTATACCCTACTTACCTGGACAGACTTTCAGCACTGCTAACTAACCCTCCGTATTCCAGTGTGGAAATAGGCCCAAGCCAAGATTACAGGACAGAGGGGTCAGAAAGTTATTCCCTTAAAGCTTCCCCTTCAAGTCATTTATCCTTTTTTATCTCACATTTTCTAGTAAGCTTATTTATCTGGGCATCAATCCCATAGCCCTCCACAAACAAATTGTTAGAATCTGGGGCCAAACCTATCACTGGCAGTTCTATATGGATTTGATCTGAGGAGCTCCTCTGAGGTTTGGGAGGCCATACCTCTGTATTCCTGTCTCACTCTGCAGAGAGAGATTGTGATCATCTCCTATGATTTCATTGCCCGATGACCGCTCTCTATCCCCACAGTTCTCCTGGTTCCTTGGCTTCTTATAAGTAGGTCAGAGGTAATCACTATGCATCTGACCTCACAGATGGAGTTAGTGTGAATATTCGTGCCACAGCTGAGGCCAGATTCAGAGAAGGCTGTCAGGAGGAATGGGAATCCTTTGGCAGGCAGTCATGTCACTGATCAAAGGAGTCTTGCAGGTTGTTCTGCATGGAAAGATCAAGTTCTTATTCATGCCTGAGAAAATGAAAATAACTACTTGTGTACGAACAGGTTTATATTCTGAATATGTGGAGATGGGGGGTTGACTAGGATTATGAAATACTGGATTTAATCTTTGATTCCTGTAAAATATACCATGCAGACATGATGAAGAAAAAGGAGTAAAATGCTTTAGAAATATACAGAAATCTTTTTGTCAAGAAATGTGCTTTTAACAGTTATATCTCTCTGATACAAAGAGTTTGAGAGGCAGGGTGGGGGGTTTGGGGACCAGGGAAGGAAAAAATGAAACAAGATGGGATCAGGAGGGAGACAAAGCAGAAGGGACTCTTAATCTTACAAAACAAATTGAGGGTTGCTGGGGGGTGGGAGGGTAGGGAGAGGGTGGTTGGGTTATGGACATTGGGAAGGGTATGTGATGTGGTGAGTGCTGTGAAATGTGTAAACCTGGCGATTCATAGGCCTGTACCCCTGGGGCAAATAATACATTATATGTTGATAAAAGTAATGAAATTAAAAAAAAAAAAGAAAAGTGCTTTTGGCACTTAATACATAATGTTGTAAGAGCATAGAACAAAACTTCATCAGAGTTTTAGGGATGAAAGCCTTCAGTTAAATGGCAAAATACAGGCATTGTGAAGTCATTTGTTAGTGTCATAGTATCAATAAGCAGAGCTAAGTACTTCCAAGGTGCATTTAAAAGAAATATATCCTCAGGCACCTGGGTGGCTCAGTTGGTTAAATGTCTGCCTTCAGCTCAGGTCATGATCCCAGAGTCCTGGGATTCAGTCCCGCATTGGGCTCCTTGCTCAGCCAGGAGTCTGCTTCTCCCTCTGCCTGTGGCTTCCCCTGCTTGTGCACGTGCTCCCTCTCTCTCTGACAAAATAAAATCTTAAAATAAATAAATAAATATACATCTCTCTATATATATTCTAAAAATAAAGGACAGTAACGTCTGAAGAGTTAGGAATGTCCTCAGTCTCCTCTAATGTTCAGAAGACAGGGCAGCTTCCGTAGGTGTGGTTCAAGAGTCTTTGCTGTTGCCAGGCAGCAGTCTGTCAGTCTGAGGGGTTCCTCTCCAGAGAGCCTGGGTAAGGAAGGGGATAAATGCCTTGATTGACCTTTATTCCTTTAACTCAGAGGTAGGAGCAGTCAGGATTTCCTGATTCATTACTAACCAGGAAATCCCAGCTGCTCAGTGGCAAGGGGTTAAAACTGTTCTGAAAAGCTTTTTATGTTCTGGAAAGCTAAATTACACATACATGCAAACCACAAACACACAGCACCTGGGTAAATAAAATGTGACTGAATAAAGGCCAGGCTATTTGCAAAAGGGAATCTGGAAAACATTTGCTTTTGGGTGGTTAACGTTACTTACACCTTATTTTTTTTTTTTTTTTACTTTTTTTAAAGAAAAAAAATAGAAGAAAGCTGCAAAAACATCAGAATTTTAACATGGCTGTTGAAAATAAGATTTCAGTTCATTTACTTTCCTAATCTTAAGGGACTATGGAGATTGAGAGGCGCATAGAGCTACTGCACAAAGCAGCAGCAATACTTTTAGTATAAAAGTTGTTAAATGAAGACCATTTCCCAGAGATAGAATCATGCTGTGGGATGCACTGAAGTCATTAAACATGAACTGTCTTCCAAACGTGGGATCAAACATCTATGGTAAATGATATTATACGTAATTATAATTAAGATGAAAAATGCTTATAAATTTAAAACCATTGGACTTCATGGTAGGCCAAATTTTCTAACAGATCTAATAGAATTTGAGCACCTAGGAAGTCATGCTGCAAAGAGTTTATGCTGCACATAGGGATTTCTCCTGGAAGAAAAAAAATCGTCATTTCATTAATGCAGGGATTCACTATTACATGAAAGCTATCAGATTGAACCATGAGAAACTGCTAGTTTTGCAGGTCAATTAACTTTGAAGAACAGCAATTTCATGTAATTCAACCTAATACTTTCTGAACCAGGTCAACTTGGGGTTGACAGTTACATTTATGGATAAAGGGTAGGTAAACAAATAGTAAAGCTCATATATGGTTCATAAAATAAAATGCCTAAGCAGAATGACTAGAGTTCTCCTTGGGAACGTTGTGGGTATTATGAATCTACCAGATAAGGTTTCAGAACTTTTCATCCGTGATAGAGGTAGAAAAGTAGTTGGGTGGGGTCATGGGAATGGTGTAGATTTTTCCTTACCAGAGAGGCTACAACACAGAAACAACTCCAGCATTAACCTATCCTAAGTAGGTAGGAATTAAGAATAAGTTTTTAGGGGGCACCTGGGTGGCACAGTGGGTTAAGCCTCTGCCTTTGGCTCAGGTCATGATCTCATGGTCCTGGCCCCATGTCGGGCTCTCTGCTCAGCAGGGAGCCTGCTCCCCCTCACCCCCCCCACCGCTTGCCTCTCTGGCTACTTGTGATCTGTCAAATAAATAAAATTTTTTTTTTAAAGTTAGTTTTTAGGGTACCTCTGCTTTTAGTCACTGTCTAGACATAAATGAGAGCAAAGTTATGAAAAAGAATAACGTGTATCTTGTTCATATGTACATATTAACAAATGGAACAAAAGAAAACTATGTAAAGTTGTTTTTTTAGCAATTGTTTATTGTCTTTATACCATAGCACCGTAATTTTGTTAAGGGCACAAGATTTCCCACTGAATCTGGTCCATTAAGAAAACAAGAACTTTTATCACCTAAGGAATTCTGGTTACAGAAAAACCCTGCCAAAACATCCTAAACTCTATGCAACATGTGTGCATTTTAAATTAATACGAGGGTAACTTGTGAGAATAGAACACACAATCCCTAAAACTTAATACTAAAAGCCTAGAAATCCTCTATGTTAACTACTTTGTTCTGGGCTTGATCGTGTCAAGATAGTGCTGGAAATTGTAATCCCCGTACAGGGGTCACTCTAAATACAGACAAGCACAACTGATAAAAAAGGAGAAGGAACATGGGCACTACAAGTTCCAATAAACACAGAGTCCCAATTCAGTTTTAGATTTTTCATGTATCTTTCTAGGTTAAAGTTGAAAGAAGTAAAAAAGTTAAAGTAAAAATAATAATTTTTCATGTATCTTTCTAGGTCAAAGTTAAAATAAGGTTAATCTAATATGATTTTCAAATGTACAAAGTTTAACATGTGACAAATGTAAAGATGATAGCTAAATATAGATACAACTATAAAAGATATATAAAGCTATTATGATAAAAGACATTATCAGACATAACTATATATTCCATCCTATAATCTCATAAATCAAAGCTTTTAACTGTCTGGATTCATATGTGACTGTATTCTTTCCACTATGCATTCTTTCTTCTTCCAGGGGTTGTTCAATAACGGCAGGTATGTTCCTGCCATAAAGTTCACAGTGTTGTAGAAACTGGACACATTCTTGAATAACACTATCACGAAGCATGATCGTGTGTTTTGACATGTTTTCTAATAAGGAGAGGAAGCATCTTTTAGCATAATACCAGGTATCAGTTCCCAGTTTCTTATGATAAGGTTCCAGGCTTTTGATAACCCGAGAAATACCAAAGTCATAATTTCCTTTGGCACAGTAGAGCGTCCCTATCACCAAATTCACAATGCAGAGGTGGTAGATTTTCTTGTCTGGGTCATCATAGGACAGCTGCTCTTCCTCCTTCTCGATCTTTCTCATCAACTCCTCGGCCTCTTCATTCTGACTTGTCATAATGTATGACACACACAGGTTAGCCAGCACAATAGCACTGACATTCAGGATGTTGTCATAGTGCTTCTTGACGATGGGTTCGTAGAAACCGATAGCTTCTTTGTATTTGTTTTCCTGCATGAACAGGACATGAGCCACGTTCAGCTTCCACACATCATGGTCATTACAGAATTCCACAGACTTGCGGAAGATCTTTTCCACCATTGCATAATTCTCAAGGTTCCAGTAGATCTTTGCCTGGGCCATCAACACGGGAATGTACTTCTCCAGAATGTCATCGTACTCATTCACTGCCTTTTTGACAGCTTCATCATCTCTATTGTGTCTTGCTTCCTGTACTTGTTTGGTGAGTCTCCGGAGCTGTTCAGTCAGCATCCCTGCCAGCCCGTCCAGCTTAATGAAAGCCTCTTCTGGGGCTGTCTGGCAAGTGATCATGGCGTCCAGGAAGTCATAGAGATAGGGTGTGAGCAGCCTGTAGGTCAAATGGGCATTCTCCGCCAGGACATCGGCTGCCAGGTCAAAATACTCGTACTTACAGTAGAGCAGCAGCAGGTTGCCAAAGGTCTCTGGGGGAAAGGGGTTCTGCTGGAGCAAAAACTGCAGCTTTTCAAACCCCTCGGTAGGCCTGGCATCCATGTTCATGAGTGCCTGGTTGTGCAGGGTCACGGGGTCTAACTCTTCTTCTGCCCTAGGTGGCATGTCCGTGAGGGCTTCCTGGGCCGCCTCGTAGTTTCGCAGTTGGTACTCGATGGCGGCCTTGAGGTTGAAGGCTTCCACCAGGGCAGTCTGGTGAAGAACTAAGGTGTTGCCAACACTTCGCACGTCGATGCCCTCGGTGGTCATGCCCACGCCTAGCTCCGGGTGCTGGCGGATACCACGCTCAATGATGTCGGCGATGTACTTGAGCGCCGGGGCGTAGTGCCGGCTGCTGTAATAGGCCAAAGCCAGGTTGTAGGAGAGGTCAGGCCGGTAGCCCGAAGCCTGGAGGGCCGCGAGGAACTTGGCACACGAGGCTTCATACTGTCCCTCCTTGTAGAGCAAACAACCCAGGTTGACCTGGCCGTCCAGTTCGTTCTCGCCCCCACTGTCGTCGCCCCCTTCCCCACTCAGCAGCTGCTCCACCAGGCTCTTGGCCCCGGGCAGGTCGCCCTCGCTGTACTTGATGGCGGCCTGCAGGCGGAGGACCCGGCCGTGGTAGGTAGGGTTGTCCAGCAGGAGGAAGGCCACCCGCGTGGCCTCTGGGTAGAGGCAGGCCTTGTACAGGGCCTGGGCCTGGTACAGGCGGTACTGCTCCAGTTCGGGGTGCAGCTGGCCCAGCTGCTCATAGCACTCGGCGGCCAGCGCGAACTCCTGCAGGCGGTAGTAGCAGTAGCCCAGCAGCGACAGGCCGGCGCGGCTCCTCGGGCTCCGCTGGAGCTCGCCGCCCAGCAGCTGCACCGCCTCGGCGTAGCGGGTGTCGCGGATGAGGCGGTACACGACCGCGGTGAACTCCCCATCGGGGATGTGCGCGCCGCTGAGCCCGGCCATAACCGCCGCCGTGGTAGTGCGTGCTGGTTACCACGGCAACGAGCCCGCCGGAAGCGGAAGATACAAAGAATAGTTAGGTTTGTTTTCTTTTTGTGATTTTTTTTTCTTTTTTTTTTTTTGTCTATTCCCAATGATGTTACATTGCAGGGGAAGACCAGACTATGGTTAGAAAAGAGTCACTAATTTGAGTATTTCATGTCTGGGCTGTCCCCAAGGATCCAGACTGTGAGCGGCGTTACCAAAGAAGAAGCTGCTCTGGGTAGTTCAGAGACCGAGACTCCACTTCCCGTCATGCTCTGGTTCAATCGCGCCGCTGCCAAGGTCGTGACCGCGTTGCATGCTGGGAGGCGTAGTCTCCGCCGGGCGGACGCGCAGTCTTCAGGCGGTGAGGTTTTTCTGACTTTTTTCGTTAGCGTTTACACTTGGCGCTATCCTCTGCCTTGAACCTCCAAATTTCACTACCATAGAAAGACGGTGGAGAAAATCTATGAGCTGGTCTTTTCCAAGGTGGGATGAGAATAAAAACACGACCAAGTTTCTCTGCACTAACTCTTCTAACTCTCCAAACCTACTTAGTGTGTGTGTGTGTGTGTGTGTGTGTGTAAGAGAGAGAGAGAGAGAGAGAGAGAGAGAGGCTGATTCATGTACTTGTCAGGCTTTAATGTTTTTGGATATCATTGATAAAGATTGGATTTTATTTCAGTTAAAATAAAAAGAAAATTTCCTACACTTCAGTTTTTTTCTTACCTCGGATTCCTAGTTTGAAGATCTCTGGAAATTTGTTCCAGTACAAAAAAATCCTGGACTTTCTTTTGTTCTTTTGTCATATATTTGGAATAGATGCTCTAGATTCCATGTTACTACCTCTGGGCTATATCTGTGTAAATACTTTTGAATTTAATATTGTCCCTCATGGGACAGTGGAAAACTAGGGACATAATTATCTTATACAATTATAATGGATCACTAATAAAAAAACATGCCCATAGTTTATACTGATGTGGAGACTAAAATTTGTGAGAGATGAATATAATTTTTCAGTCAGAAATTAGAGACAAAGGTAGACAAAACAGCAAAAGACACAACTGGCTTACCCCAGTGAGGTAGCAGCAGTTCTTAAGATAATAAAATTAGCTATAATTTATGGAGTGCCTGGGTGGCTCTTAATTTTGGCTCAGGTCATGATCTCAGGGTTGTGGGATTGAGCCACATGTTGGGCTCTACACTGGTTGTGGAGCCTGTTTAAGATTCTCCTCTCCTGCTGTGTGTGTATGTCCCTCTCTAAAGGAAAAAAAAATAGCTATAAGATATGAATATCATACACAGTGCCTCTGGGGTAATGGGGTTTTCTTTCATAGTCTGACACAGTCTTTCAGATTTCCATTGGCTTCACTACAATCCAAGCTAAACATAGTTCAGGTAAAAACATGTCTTTGCTATGTAATTAAAGACTTCAATGCAAATCCCTTACCTGCCTCAGTAGTATTGTAGCCTATAAGTTCTATAAATTCATTTTGGAGCCAATATCAGCTGTGTTGCAGGGCACTCTATTAAACTGTTCATATAGATTATCTCTAAGCTTAATAATCATCTTGTATTCTGCTTATTAGAGAGAAAAAAAAAAGCAGCTGAGCCGTGATATCCAAAAGCTAAGTTATTAGGAAAGAGAGACTATTGAATTAATTCAATGTATGTATTACCTAAGAGCCCAGTTTTGAGGGAATACTAGTGCCTTGTTTTTTTGCTTGTTATTTTTCCCATTTAAACAATCACCTTGGTTTGGGCAGTAAAATTGGAACTTTCTGGCCTGAGCTGCAGCTGTTAGCAGATCTAAGGAAGTGATTGGTGGGTGGCAGTGTAGTTCCTAGTCACCTGTTACAGCTAAAAAGAGATTTCAGTAAGGCATCTGGATGCTATACTGTCAAGCAACTGATTCATGTACTTGAGCATTCTTTTCCCTTGCTGAGAAATTTGCCAAACTTGTGTTCTTCTAGATGGAACCAGACAAAGAGCTTTTCACTGTATGAATACTGGCAAAAGGAGAAACTGCACCCATTTCAGAGGAATTGGGGGATCTCTGGGCCACTCAAGATTCCCTGAAAAAACAGCTGAGAAGACCTCTATATAACCCTACTCAAAAGCTTCTTCCGACCCAGTCTCTGGCTTCAGCCTTTTCTGGTCTTCAACCAAAGGAGGTACACGGTTTGAGGGATGCTAGCTAGTGTGGCTGAGTGATCAGAAATAGGGTGTCTTCTCCTTTATGGCTGCCTGATTGACACTTAACTCTTGAAAAAAAAATTATCCAAAAGGCTCAATATTTTGAAATCTTAATATATTTTAAGTTCTTAAGTATGAAGTTATTACCTTTGGTAATTTGCTACTAAATCAAGGTAAAATGACAGAACATAGAAATGGGAAATTGCCTTTTATATCTTTTCATGTGTTTCAGAGTTGTATCATGAAAACATTCACCTTCAAATGGCTTCTTGGAAACGGATGAAAAACGGACTATCTGCTCTCCGCCAAATTTCCCTGATCTCTTTAGGCATCAGTTGGGGTCCCCTCTTTGTGTTGCTACCTGTCTGTGGGTGAGGCAGCTGATGGGGGCAGAATGGGGGCTGCTCTGTGTCTTTCTCCTTGTTTCCTGTGCTACTGTTCCTGAGGCCTGGCTTGCAAAAAGCAGGACATTCGGTTTAGACAGATGGAGGGCAGGGTCATTTTCAAAATGAAATGAGTGCACAAATCACACTGTGAAATTGGCATGACCATCACTGCTGCTGTGATAGACTGACTTTTATTTAGTCTCTGATAGGCAGTTGGGGAATACATTAGTTTGGGGGGGGCAGTAGTGAAAGAAGGCCCTTTAATTAATGACAGAAATTCTGGAAAGCAGTAAATGGGGTGGAATATTATAAAATGTCATAAAGGTTCATTTTGTTTCCAGCAAAATCTTGGAAAGCTGGAACATGTATCAGAAAGTAAGAGTATCGTAGCATTCCTAGCAATAAGAAAGCATTTGGCGGTTGCAATAAAATGATTCAGTGCCTTATTGAAAGAAACTAGGATCTGAGAAAATGAAGTTGGACTCAGGGTGGATTTTGCTGCATAAGCAGAGGCATGTTGACCATATAGAAGAATTTCATTTAGGCAAAATGTATAGGAGCTAAAAGCATGATATTTGGCTCTTCCATGTGCTCATGTTTGTCCCTGCCAAAACACGAGATGATTAAATCCCATCGATATTCTATTTGGCATTCTCTTATAAGGCTAATTGGAAATGACTGTTTCTTATTTAACTTGTAAAAATAACCACTTCTTTTTAGTAAACATTGTTATTTTATGAGTATTTCAACCTCAGTTATGATTAAACATTTTCCCTGATAAAGGAAGACCTTCTGCAAAACCATTTGCCAAGTTATTATTTCTGTTTCCCATCCAGTCCGGGCCATTTTCTGTAGGATAGCCAGATTGATTCCTCTGGAGTCCAGCTTGATATTTTGTCCCCGTGTGTCTGTTGATGATGATAGAACTGACCCGCTTTCCACCACCTCTCACCTATCACCCATAAACGGGGAAGAAAAGAATAAATTAGTGCAAAAGTTGTAATGCAGTTCACCGACCTTTAGGAGCATCTGTTCAATCTTTTAAGACTCTCGGAAAAGATTGTATGCTGAAGCCACACTTGGGCACATTTAGGCTCAGATGGTGAGAAATTTAACCTCACTGAGACTTAATCTTTTTCCTCTGGTAGTTCCAGCTCTATTAATATTTTATATCATAATATGTTTCCTTCTTCATATATCTTGCTTTTGATCAAATAATTTCTATTTTGAGGTTTATGATGTTAATATCCAAACTAATTTATTAGGGAGATCACAAAACATGGTTTAGAAAAAGGAATTAGCAGGGTAGCCATAATGGTGGTACTACCCTTGGAAGATTTATTCCCTAGGGTTAGAGTGTGCTGTGGAATGCACTGATAGGACTGGTACCCAAATCACTTCATTTGAGCATTTTTTCACATTTGTAAGAGGCAAGAAATGATTTGTAGTATCACTTCTTTCTCCCAAGATTGTTGCCCTTCCTAGTTAGATATGGCATATGCTTGTTCTCATTTCCGCAGTTTAGCCATGAAAATAATAAATTGGGTGGGAAAGGTCTGTGAAGTCCATGGTCAGAAGATACTATTCTCTTTTCTTTTTCTTTTTTTTTTTTTTAGGATTTTATTTATTTATTTGAGAGAGAGAGAGAGCATGCACACAGAAGGAGAGGGAGAAACAGATTCTTCCCAGAGCAGAGAGCCCAATGTGGGGCTCTATCCTAGGACCCTGAGATCATGACCTCACCTGAAGGCAGACACTTAACTGACTGAACCACCTAGGTGCCCCAGAAGATGCTATTCTTTTTTTTTTTTTTTTAAAGATTTTATTTATTTATTTGATGGACAGAGATCACAAGTAGGCAGAGAGGCAGACTCCCTGCTGAGCAGAAAGCCAGATAAGGGGCCCGATCCCATGACCCTGGGATCATGACCTGAGCTGAAAGCAGAGGCTTAACCCACCGAGCTACTCAGGTGCCCCCAGAAGATGATATTCTTATCAAAGAAAGTTGTCATCAGCTTTTGAGCGCATTTTCTGGCTTACAGTACTAGAGAGCCATCCATGATGGTTTTGACAACCACCCATCTAATTGTCTCAAAAGTACTGTAGTATTTTTTAGGCTTTCTCTGTAGAGAGTTATGGAACACACTCCCAGGGCCTGTGCTGGTGGACCATGGAACCCAACTCAGAAACCAAATCTCTCCTTCAAGCCTCCTGGTGCTGTACTTCCCGAATCCAATGAATAAAGTTCTAACAATCTGCCTTTGAAATATACCAACTCTGTATATTTCTCTCAGAATTCCGCTACTGCTGCTCTGCTTTCTGCCACCATCTCTCTCCCGGATCTTCGATAAGTCTCCTAAATGGCTTCCCTTCATCTCTTCCTGAGACCCTTACAAA